TCAGATGGGAGAGGGATCCGAAGAATCACACAACGAAGTAAATTTAAAAGGAGAAGATCTTATGGAAACGAATACGTATAGTATATAAAATATATATACCACTTTAGAACGTGCTTCAGTAAGGAACCAAATAAACTCAGGCTATCAATCAGATAGCAATGGGGATCCAAGAAATCACACACAAAAGGGCAAATCACAGGGCACAAAAATACGGCTGGTAGACATCAGTGTGGTAAATATGCGTCAAGAACTATATCTCAACGTACTCCCCTGATCAGAGGTGAGTCGTTGGCTATTTATTGAACATTACTCGATTAACATCTGGTCAATTAGCGCATGTGCGTAATCGGATCAGAACCATAAACTGGGTTTATGACCGATCCACAATAGACCTTAATAACCCTAAATCGTATATCTGATCACAAAAAACCCTAATAATCCTAAATCGTATATCTGACCACATTGCTGTTGCGCCATTAACTCAGTAAGTTTCTGAGCGGACGATTGGCCCCTTACCGTGTCCTTGTTGTTGGTGCGACGACGGTAGCGTCTACATTTGTTAGGTGGAAGACGTGGTTGGTCATTACTGGAGGATAAGGCCCCTGAAGTACCCGACGACGAACGGGAGGACAGACCATTACTGGCTACATATTCACCAGTAGTGGTCTGACTCCGGTCCGCACGCAGGTCGGGAACTCCCTTGGTCTCACCCTCGAAGACGACGTCGTCTCCTGAATGGACAGGTTCCTCTCTGTGTGCCGTTGGTGACTGCTTGTCGTTAACGGAAACAGGGTGGAGAAGCTCTAGACGTGCCTGTTGTTGCCCCTCCAGAGCCTGTCCTGGGTGTGGATCAGAGCGGTCCGGGTTAGATTGACGACGCTTAGTCCCACATTGGTCAATATCGTCTTCTTTGCGACGTTCAGGGTTCAGGTGTTGCTGTCTACGACTTTGGAGGGGATTGGACATAGTCGGGGAAGTATGTTTCAACGGATTTCTTGAAATGTGTGCGAACGAACTCGGAAAGAACTGAATATAAATACCCATTTCCAAACAAGAGTCCATCCCTCAAACACATGACGTCTCGACGATGATCCTCGAGGAACCAGTGGGCTCACTCTTGATTACATTATTTCACTCACAGACCCTAGTTGTATAGAGAGTCGAGACCCATCTATCACTAACTGATGTCTTACTCTCCTTCGAACAATTATCTTGTTGACGTATGGCCGCTTGTCGGAACATTCTCTTAACCTGCCCTACGGCTGCTCCTGCTCCGACCTGGTGTCAGCCTAGCCTCGGCACCTCGTTGCATACTCCATTTATCGCTCCTAATTGCTCTGCTTACTCCCCTGGTTTCGTGTCCTCTACTCATGACCTCATTGTCATGTACCGTTGCGGCTCCTAAACTACGCTGCCGCAAACCACGCCTTCTGTACGTGCTCTTGAGCCGCTCCCATTACCTGATGTAGCTAGAAGCTTCAGTGATTTGTGTGTGCGCGCCTGTCATTTCCACAATGTAGCCATGTACTACTTACACCGCTCGTGTTCTGTACGCTCCCACGTTATATACTCCTAAAAATAGGCTAAACTCACAGATGCTTACTTATGTTTCTGTATTCTCCTTCTAACCTCCTTTGTCGACGAACCTATCTAAATCATCTTACGTGCACTTCTGGTTGTAGTTGACGTTACTTAGATAGCTATCGCTTCCCAACTTCGTCGCTACCTATTGTAGCCGGAACTTAAGTAGATTATGCTAATAAACGCTCCCTTCTATTCGTTCATACAAGCCCAATAAATATTCCCTTTAGAGTCTTAACTCCTATTTCGTTGCGTATGGATACCATTAGGTGTACATGTCTTGCCATTCCATTTCCTATCTCTTAAAACTTCAGTCTGCCCACACCTAGTACACACTATATAGTCTTGTGACGTGTTGCCTGATATAGATTCGCCGTCGTGTCTTTTACCTATTATCTGCGTATTATTTGTTGCGCTTGTATATGGTCATTGTTTAGTACCTATGATCTTCAACATCAACTATACGTGTACACTGTTTTGTCAACTGACGTGTGCACTATGTAACCTTGTCTATTCTGTATAACGACTAACTATCAGTTCATATGACTTAACCTCTAATTATCTTGTAACTTCTGTGAAATAATATTGTATATCGCTACTTCTTTGTGTCGTAGTACTGGTCGAGTCGGCACTGACCATGTATACCCTCCATTTCTACTACTGTAGATCCTAATTAACCTTCTTCTTTCTTCTAATAACTCTTAACTTATAGTTTAAGGGTTTTAGGGTTTAGGTTTAAAATGCAAACTCTATTTATACTTGTCTCACACGACCACAACTTTCCTACCTACTCTCACACGTGACTACTTATCTGTGGTTTCTGGTTGATTCCCTGATTCCGTTATCTGATCGTCTTGGGACCTTCCTAGATGTTCCTGGGTTGATGTGCTTGATTGTGATGGTTCCTTCTCAGTTTCACTCGACTCGCTAGATTCTATCTTTGTTCTTGTCGTCCAAACATTGTTAGTACGACGACCAGTTAGTCTAAATCGTTCAAGATGTCGAGCCATTTCGCGTCTGTTGATTCTAAATCTCCTTTCTTTGACTTCATCAATCGTAGGTGGTTCTCCACGGTCATTCCCTTGGTTCTCCTGTCTCAAATCTTCTTCTGCTTCACTGCTGCTGGCCGACATTAATGTCGGCATCGTATCACTAGCCTCACTACTCGAGAACCCACTATCTCCTTCTTCGGTCGGTAAATTTCGAAAGATCTCGTCATTTTGATGCGACATTCTTTGTTCTTATTATTCTCAAATTGTCCTTAAAACAATATATATATATATGCTAGCCACCGACTAATTCTTATTCCTTATCTTTCCTTATAATTACTAATAAACTAACAACTTCCTATAGTAAGTTAAAAATGTAGTAAGTGTACGCTGGATAACTATATCTCAACGTTCTAAAATTAATGACTCTAATAATGAGTCATAAGTCATGTACTGAAATAGTCAGCAAAAACCAAGTTTATCAGATTATTCTGATGAACTGTAAAAACTATAATAAACTTAAAATAAACAAATAAACCAAGTACTTGTATTCTGACCACAATACACACACAAAGTTGACCATACGAGATATATATCAGAAGTTCGGTACAACGCCATGAGGCATAAACTTGAAATAAAATGAAACCGAAAAAAATAAATAATAAAACCATAAACCACGGATGAACACAGCAAACTGAGTGCACGCCAGAAACCAGGTTTATCTCAAGTTCACAAATAAACAGGATAAACCCAAGTTTATCCACTTAAACCAAATGCTCCCACGTTGAGTTGAGCAGACCAGGGGCAAGCCACTACACACGTCTTCACTACTTGATACTACAAAGAAGCACAAACAAAGGTAATCAATCGATTTTACTGAAACTTGCGTGTGCACATAAGAGACACTTGTACTCGACGTGAGACTACATGAGGTACCTACACAGTCTGACACAACAATAAACGCCCCACACACAGCATAGTCAATGACTTCTGCTCCATTTCAGAGGACACGTGCAGCACGACGAAGCCTACTCACACAAGTGAGCTCAAGTAGAACACAGACTAGAGGCAACACTAGTTGTACGACCAGGACAAGTCCAGGAACAACAACCACGATGCCAGTTTCGCAAGCATCGTCACACACCTCTACCCCACACAATGGGTATAGAGCGATGCACATGGACGATGAGTTCACACCAGCGAGAGCTCCAATGGATCCAGCGATGAGTAAGTACAACATAGTCTTGGACACGACCATCTATGAGTGCAACTACTACATAGTAGACATACTAGTAGACAAGTTGTATGCACAAACAGCGGACGATCCTATTGACATTAGTGCATTTCACAAACTGCGCAAAGTAGTCTATGAACAACAACCCAAGCGATTTGTTCCAGTAATAGATGAGTGGTTAGTAGAGCTATACAATAAAGCTATGAAGAACTGTGACAAAAGTGATCACGATGATTACATTGCTATCAGTGGCTTTATGAGCGAGTTACCTCTAATTAGATCTCACGAAGGGGACAAAGCTTCAGAACCAGAACTGAACAAACTACTCAAGATGAGTGAGTTCCAAATAGATCAGTATGGCTGACTGTCGTTATACAATTGAGTCTGTATCTGTAGCCAAAGACTTGTTTGCGAGCACAAACATGCCATTGATACAGTACCTCTCAATAGTCCAAGGGCTGCTCAGACAGACCGACGCAACAGAAGTATCGCGCACTGCTACGTAGTACAAAAAGCTTTGGCAAGACTTCACTGATGTGGAAGACTACAATATATCAATCATTGACAACCTACGTCGCACTCCAGTAGACTATCTATTTGAGAAGTGGCTCAACAATTTCTATGACACTCGTATGAATGTCGAAGTACGGGCAGCACAGTTGCGTCGCACAATGTTTGAGTTAGAGAAGCGTTACCAGGGCACGGAGAGGGAGGCTATCAATTGGCAACTCCTCAAAGCATCGCGTTACCAAGTACTAGTCGTGTACGGTTTGCAAGCGGAAACATACAAATAGATCAAAGATCAGACGAAAACCGATGGTAGTAGTGGACACGTATCTGACATCTCAGAGAAGGTATTTCATGAACTCACCGAAGACATGATCAGACAGGCAACAATACTACAAGCTAATCGCAAACATGAAAGCAAGCGAGCGAAAAAATGCACTTGTTCATGAACCACGAGCTACTCGCCCAAGACTGAACATACCTCTAGGGGGTCCGCCCAGAGAGGGGGAATACCAAGAGGGGAAGGCCCACCAAGGGGTAAAGGTCCACCAGGAGGGCAAGGCAGAGGTCTTCCCATAGGACAGGCCACTGACACACCAGTACCGCGAGGACCACGACCTTGCCCACACTGTGGTATAAACCCCTCACACACCACATGCGTTCAGCAAGTGCCCCAACAAAGCGAACAACAACCGTCTAAAGGCAGAAGCACGAAAAGCGCAACATTACCAACCCGTTCATGTTGACCAGTTGGCCATTACCAATGGCAATAAGGTGCAAGAGATAGATGAACATGTATGAAAAACTTGGTAGTCCGAGGCTAACATGAAAAACATGGTAGACATTGTGAATGCACACACTGATGAAGAAACGTTGTTAATATATGCGAATGTTATTGATTACACACCCATTTCTTTACTTCCGAATCCACGAGATCAAAGATTGCACATAGACATACAAATCAATGGCACCGCGTACAATGCACTAGTAGACTCAGGGGCACAACGCTCTTGTATGGACCGAAGTGTAGTAACTGAACTATACTTATCTGTAAAACCACAACCTGGATACATACAACTTGCATAATCAGATGCAAGAGTACAACGCACAGGTTCCACAGAAGTATGTGATTTAAACTATGGAAGCAGAAAAACATCAAACTGCTTCGAGGTACTTGACCTCCCAGACAAGAAATCACCAATTCTAATAGGAATGGACGTTGATCCAGTGCGTTGTATTCTTGCATCTGTTTGTGCTAGTTGTAAATAACCCGGTTGCGTTCTAACAGAAAGATATGAAATATATAGTTCTGATACTACACTTTTGTCCTGCATGAGCGTTGTGCACCCGAGTCTACTAGTGCATTGTATCTATTGCCATTGATTTGTATGTCAATGTGTAAACGTTGGTCTCGTGGTGCGGGAAGTAAAGATAAAGATTGACAATTTATATCTTTGCATTTATTAACAACGTTTTTTCATCTGTAAATACATTGAGTCTGTCAGCCAGGTCAATCATGTTTGCTTCCGCCCACCAGTGTTTTCAGTGCTCATCACCGTCTGTGATGTCTTCCACCTTGCCAGATGTAATGGACAGTTTTGCTATCTGTATATCTTTCTTGGCTCGCTGCTCAGTCTTCGTGGCTTGATTTGCTTTCTTCTCAGGACATTCGCTGTACCGATGTGGGACTGGCATTACCAGGCAGTGGGGGCATGCACGCTCCTCACGTGCTCCGTTCTTTTTCTGTGTCTACCCCCTTGCTTGTTCTGGCTGTGTGTACCATTGTCTGGTTTTACCGTTTGTTAGCGTTTGTAGAGTTATCCTCAGCTGGTGTGGTTGTTTGTGCGTTGTTGCGCTTGTTTGCTGTTCGTGTCTGATCCCTCAACATACGCTCTGCTTGCATCAAAGCCGCCGTTCTTATTCGTGTCTCAGTCATAGTATGAAACTTGGTATGTTCTATATCTGACAAGTGTCCTTCACTCCCATATGGTTGCTTATCCCCTTTGATTAGAGTATCCACCACTGGTTGCAGTCCATAGTACTTAAGTGCTTGGTACCTTTATACTTTGAGAATTTGGTAGTGTATGGGTTCCTCGTCTGAGTTGCGGTAACGCTCCTCTAACATCGCCATTGTCTTGTGCACACGTTCTGTGCGCACTTCGACATTCATCTTCTTATTCTGCAAGTTATTAAGAAACTTCTCCAACAGATTGTCTACTGGATGTGGTCTATTGAATTGCTCAGGATCTTTGAAGTGCTTTGTCGCATGTGTCTCAGAGTCTCTCAAGTTATTGAGTACTGATTTGGGTTTCCCCGTTGCATCAGTAGAGTCCAATAGGCTTCTTACTAATGCTGGGTACTGACACAAAGGTATGGACTTTGCTAAGAATAGGTTACTACATTGTGTAGTGAACTCTATAATGTTTTCCGCAGTTTTCCATTCTAAAATAGCTATCTTTAGGCATTTTTGGAAATTCAGAAGTCTTTAGTAATTTCGCAAGTGGTAGCTCATTTATCTGAACACCCAAGCGTGACCGCATAATTTCTAACTCACTAATGTATAGACTTATTTGGATGAGTTGATTTTCCTCATCGTCACCACAGTCATTGATCGCTTAAAAACTAGTGGCATGCGGCGCTCTGGCTGTTGATCATGAATGCCTACCCTCATCTTATGTAGAGTTGGTATGGGCACCGGTGCCGTTTGTTCCAACTTGGACACAAACCGACTCACCAGAACATAGTTGCCTTGACAGATATTCTTGTCTATTTCTAGACGTATTGCTGTCACTACAATGGGTACCCCCGCCGGTGTAGGTTGGTCCGAACTGTTATCTGGGCTTGGCCCCCCCATTGGGCTGACACCCACATCATCCGCGCCTTCACTCCCTTATCCCCCACCGTACACGCCTGCTCTGGTTGCAGCTGGCATTTTCTGGGTGTTAGTGGATTATTAATAAGGACTCTGGTTATGTTTTGTGCGAAAGCGCGCGCTTCATCCACCCCCCCCCCCCCATCCCCCCGTCTAGAGTAATAATGCTTTGCTGCACTTCCGCGGGAAGTGTTGACCTTGCTGTATGGCTCGGTAGCTTGTTGCTTTGTCCCCTGTATTTATGAAGGGTGAAAATGGTGTTTGTTAGTCATGCTTATTTCGTCACGTGTGACGTCACCTGTGCTTATTCCGTCGTATGAGAAATTAATTCCTCATGTGTGATCTCAATGAGATGTTCGGTCCTAGTGACGTCACGCTGGAAAGTTCGGTTCTGGTGGCGTCAACCGTTGATGTTCGGTCCTAGTGAATGTGGCGTATGTACCGAACTGTTTGTTCAAGTTTCTACACCTTGTACGTTTTGTGCATTCCAGACTGTGTCGTGTGTGCGATCACTCTCAATGTGCTTGTGCAGTGTGTGGTGTGTATTATGTTGCTTGTTCGTGATTTTGAGTTTCAAATATAATCTCAATCTCTCGTGATCTTCTAGGTATGATTTGTACCTGATCAGAGTGAACCTTTTATTTGCTTGGTTGTTTGATCTGTTTGATCATATGTTGCCCTTATGCGAGTATATGCTATGTTCTGATGCATCTATATTGTCTCTTTATCTGATGTGTGTTTTCACTACAAGTGATTTTGAATTCTGTCCCCAATATTTTAGATCTTTCTTCTGGCATGGTTTGTACCTGATCAGATTGGTTTCAGTTATTTGGTCTGTTCGTGTTATTGTTTTTGTGTCAGTGGTGCAAGCGATATGTATTAGACTGTGTCTGTATTGTATGAATGTGTTGCTGGTGTGCGATTTGATGTTCATCAGATGTATTTGTGCAGTAATTTTGAATTGCTCCTTCCTATTGTGCAAGATCTTTTAAATCTTTAATATTCGAAAGCTTGAATTCCTATATTATTGTTTAGTTGATACGTATTATTTGTAATTCTTAACCCTACGTCCCCTAGAACCTCTTGAGTCTGATTGACTCGTGATTGTATGTTCGGGTATGATCTTGAAGTTCTTAGTATTAGAAACTTCACTACCTATAATTGTGTTTAGTTAACACGTATTATTTGTAATCCTAAACCCTAAATTCCCTAATCACTTCTTGAGTCTGATTGCCTCGTGATTGTATGTTTGAGTCGTTTGATTCCTTGGAATTGTGTGTAGTTAACCTTTGATCGATCAAGCTGCGTCCTCTATGTGTTCTGGGACTCAGTGGGTTGGATCTTCGGTGTATGTCTTTTTCTAAACCATGTATCAAGTCGTCCTTATTGTATATGACATAGGAAGGCTATGTATGATATTAGAAAGCTATGCATCCACAAGGAGATTTCACGATTCTCTACGGGACGTTTTACTTTTCTCGTAGTAACTCCCTAGTCTGGGGTGCTTAGTTTAGGGTGCTGGTCTTAGTGCTTATTGCTATGCTGTCTGTTTCCCTTATAGTTATTTGCTCCCGATTCTATAGATGCTTCTCTAGATGTATATCCTACGCTTTCGTCCGAGATTTCATACAGACAAAATACCCGTTGCTCTCCCTGCATACTATTTTGTATGGTCTGCCAACTTGTTCATTTCATCTTGATGGCGAACCATGACAAGGCCATGCATGAAGCGGTGATGCGAGCAACAGATACACACACATGTAAATATATTGTAAAAGAAGCATGGCCCCCTTCCTGGAAGTTTACATACTTCTTTTGGTATTTTCGATCGTATGCTGCGCGCATTTTCTCTTGATACTGTGCAACATTATTACCTAGTTGTGGCCTGATGGCTTCTTCTAAATTTTGCAGTCGCTCTTCTCCAGATACTGTTGTACTGGGTGCGGTCACTGGCTCATTGTAGTCCGTGAGTTGATTCTGTTTGCGACCAAAATACACATTGAAGCGCGGTAACTTGTGTCTTCTGAATGTACGCAGATTATGGCCCATCTGTACGAATGGAAGTCGTGAACACCAGTTACCTGGATTCTGTTTAACGAATTTCCGTAGCAGGGGTATGAGGTCTCTATGTGATTGTTCGTTCGCGCCTAAGACTTTAGGTTGATACGGCCGAGAGACTAGGTGTTGCATTGGCGCTTGTTCAACAACTTTTGCAAGTATATCGCTAACATATTCAGTAACTATAATTTGTGGGAATCCACGTTCACACATGATTGGTACCAGCGTGCGTGCAATGGTAGCTGCTAATTTGTCCACCATGGATGTAAAATGACGTATGATGAGTATACATCCAGCCATACTAACACATATGTGTGTCCTCCGTTGGAGTCTAATAGTGGACCTATGGTGTCCACTTGGACTCTGTCGCTTGGATATGCGGTTGTTATTGATTGTGAGGGGTGAGATCTCTTTTTGTGTATCTTATTTTTGAGACATGGTATGCATCCGTCAATGAACAAGTGTACATGTTGTTGAATTTCAGGCCAATCATGTCCATCTGCTTGCAACTTTTGTACCGTTTCTTCAGGAGTGTAATGTCCCAAGTTGTGGTTCTGTTCAATGATGTTGACACGTGTCTCATACTCTATTGCCTGTGGTGCGTCCCCAGAATATGTATGGCAGGTTGTTCCCGCGTTGAGTCAAAGTATGGAGACTATTTTTGCGACTAGTGTAACGCCCCATGGGGCAACTAGACGTCAATTTGGCACAATATCAAGAAAAGTGATCGCAAATACCAAAAAAAGTATGTACACTTCCAAGAAGGAAACATTGTGATGGTTCGTTACCTAGGTGAAATGAATAAAATGACAGCACCATATGGAGGACTATACAAGATAGCAAGCAAAGAGGGTACCGGATTTTCGTCCGTTACCTTGATGGAACTAGAGCCCCCGAATATCAAGAAAAGTGATCGCAAATACCAAAAAAAAGTATGTACACTTCCAAGAAGGAGACATTGTGATGGTTCGTTACCTAGGTGAAATGAATAAAATGACAGCACCATATGGAGGACTATACAAGATAGCAAGCAAAGAGGGCACCGTATTTTCGTCCGTAACCTTGATGGAACTAGAGCCCCCGAGTATCCCAACTCAGTCAATGATGAGCTAATTGGTTTAGTCAAAAAGGCTAGTGAATCCGGAGATTTCACTACCAACAATCAAGTCCAACCATCAGAAGAGACTCAATTCTCTTCGATACTAGACCACAGAGAATCCACAAGAGGCGGAGGAACCCAGGATTGCCTACTGCAATGGACAGATGGAGAGCGCACCTGGACACATGAATCAGACATCGCAGATCCAGATATTCTTACGATATACCGACAGCGTAAACAACGCAAGCGAAGACAATCCAGGCCGAAGGAGTTAACAGCAACCAGCACTGATGAACGATCAGCGAGCAACAGGCAGCGCACGAGGCGGGGAACTTAGCCAAGTTTCACTGACACCAAAGGACACTCCCACTTTTTTCCCCTTGAAGCATGCTCTGCCCACACACCAGAGGGGTAAGGGCCAAAGACTCGGTTGAGAGCCACCGTTGAGATGCGTTTTCCTAAGCCAAGTTGAGATCAACTGAGAGCACAGGTCAAGACTGACTCCGATGAGCGTGGTAGAGTACTCCTGTTATTTAGTACAAATTAATATAATAAGTAATATGTTAGAATGGATAATGGTGGCAGGTTTTTCATATTATGCCCCCTAAGGGACAAGTTATTCCCTGTACAAAAACACCAACCTCTAGATAATCTAGTCTTATAAGATGTTACTTTTTACTCCTACGCAGGCTGAGAAGTATAAAGTTGGGGGGCTGTAGCATCTAGGGGCCAGATTATCAATGTTTTGGATCTAGGATCTAATTTTTCTGATGATAGAGTGATCAGAAATATAGCGGGATTACCGGTAGATGATACCGGGAGTCCCGCGTGAGAGAAAAACACTTTAGTAAATATTGAGTCTAGTGTAGAAAATACTAAACACGAATAAAGACTTAATGCGAGTCCTTCAGCCTAAGACTTTTACCTAGCTGTAGGATTCGCACTTGAGAAGAGGTCCATTGTTTCTTCTGGTCGTATCCTATAAGCTACTCTCAAACTCTACAGTGATTACGGTTTGGGGAGAGCATTATTCCAACGAGTCAACGGAAAGAAACACTACATAATGTTCTTTAGTAAGACATTGAACCATGCGCGACAGAACTACGCTACACCAATGAAGGAGTTACTAGCTTTGATGTATGGGCTTACTGTGGTCGTATTACCCATACAGGAGGATAAACCTAGTTTAACCAGATTTATCAGATCATAGGATCTGATAAACCTAGTTTGTATTCATCAGATCATAGGATCTGATAAACTTAGTTTGTGGTTATCAGATCATAGAATCTGATAAACCTAGTTTGTGTTCGAAGACTGAACACATGACTCATAGAGTCCCCTAGTTATGTTCAATAATCCAATAAAGACGCAACGTCTCCCTGACTACTCAAGGAGAACGTTCAGATACAGTTATTTGAGCGTAACTTACTACATTACACATTTCAGGGAGCACCTTGATGTGCAACGGTTTTGAAGTCTTCACAGGTCACAAGGCCTTGGTATATATGAATGCTCAGGTAAACTTAATCCGATGTTACAGAGATGGCACCACATCATCGCACCGTTCAACTTCACCATATCACTTATATTGTGTTACCAGACATGTTGAGCAGAGTACACGAGGAAACAGCGGAGAGGGACGAACCTGAAATATTGTATACATATTGTTGGCAATTATTTCCTAGTTACTTTGAACAAGTGCAGCAACAATTCGATCCGAATGACATAGAATATATTTACAGACCCAACCAATGCTCAACTACCTCAATTTTCGACGAAGGATGACGGGGAATGAGCGTTTGCCTACGACTGGTCTAAGGTAGACGGGTGGATGAACCCAAAAATAGGAGCCGACGGCGCAAGTGCAACCGTATGCTTACCGCGGGTTCCAAGAGCGCCGTGGTTTGACTTGTTTAACTACAATCAGAACCAGTGCTGGTTCCACGTACGCCACATACGTTCTTAAAGTATGTTAAATACGCTTGTGGTAAGACATTATGGGGTCACACAATGATCGCACGAGTGGGTCCATCAAACGGGTACAAGCTAGATCCAATATTTTCACAACGACTAGGGTATGCAGAATCACGACACACTGCGTACGTCTTGTGTTTAGATACAGCACGGACGATGTCGGTGGCAATGGCAGAGGCAGAGGGTCAACCAGCGTCTAAGCAAGCAACACCGGAAGAACGACAGCGCCGTACACAACTCACGCAAGCTCACCACGAACAAGTCCACCATGGAGCGGCAAACACAGTTCAGCCAATGTGTGGCCAGGTGCACTCGAATTGGCAACGGAAGTCAAACGACAATGTGGTACATGTCTGGGTCAAGACACGCTACGTAAAGGTTTTCATCCGATGATCAGCATTGACGCACGCTATCCGTGGAATCACATACAAGTCGATTACATTCCGATGCCACTCGAATCCCGGAGGAAGAACAATTACATCCTCCATGTCCTGGATATCGCTACAGGCTACTCAATGCTTCGAGCAACACCTGACAAGACGAAAGAGACGACGGCCCAGACACTGATAGCGATTTTTGGCGAGCATGGCTTCCCACGGATAATCGAGACAGACATGGGAAACAAAATTACCAACAAGATAGTGGAACTTCTGGTTCAGGAAGTAGGCATCCTACATAAGGTGTCGCCGCCATACCGACCCCAAGTACTGGGCGCTGCCGAACGATGTCATAAGGAGATCACGCGGTCCATTAGACAGTGCTGTGAAGCAGTACCCCTACGGTGGGACGAACGCCCCCCTTTTACAATGCTCTATCAGAATCTTCGTATATCTCACCGTCATAAGAGTGCACCGTTCAGCGCGTGTTTTGGTTCACGTTCCGTTTGCCGATTTTACTAATGAGTTACCTGACACCCAGCCGATTACGAATGACACCTGGGCTCAACGGTTGGACTAGTTGCAGGATACTATCCTTCCAGCACTCCACCACATTACTGTGAAGTACACGGGTAAACTGACGAAGACGTTTGACCGCTTGCACGCTCACGACTTAGTATATATCGACGAAGGAGACGTGGTGATGGTGCGGTCTGAGGGTAGAACGACTAAGGCGATGCGGCCGCTGTTTGGCTCATATGTGGTCAAGGCTAGGGTCGGCCAGCGCTATGAGTTGGCTAATAAAGACATACGCCCCTCTGGAATTCAAAGACAAACCAGAAATAACTCCTCCGGTTAGTACATCGCAGCATAGACCCACCGCTTAACGATGAGTTGTGGGCGGAAGGAGGAGTCGAGTTTCGCCACATTATTACACACCGTACGAATGATGATTCTGGGAAGTTGGAATATTTGCTGAGATGGCGCAAAGGGGACCCTACGTGGGAAACAGCGGCGACATTTGACGATGTCAACGACATCGCGGCCTACCATAAGACCTCGCAGACACGGACATGTAAACGCCAACGTGCACAGATCTAACCTTTATATTAGTAACATGACTATTAGTTTTGACGGTGCGCTCGAGCCGTGTATTTCGAGCCCTCTAGCTCCCAGAGGATGAATACCAGCACACTGCTCCAGCTCTCAGAGGATAAATGCCAGCACGCAACTGCTTTCAGGGCATTTCTTCAATCTTTTAAGCTCGCACACTCATAGTGTTTCAGCTTGGGGGCGTTGTAGTCGCTCTAGCTCTCAGAGGACAAATCCCAGTAACCAACTTACTAGGGGTTTTCCTTATGATCTCTAAAACTGGCACACTTCTATTCTATAGTGCTTCAGGTTTGGGGGGGGGGGGGGGAGGGGGTTGTGGTCGGAATACACCAGGTAGGGTTAAACTTAGGTTTATTAGAGTTTATTAAAGTTTATCAGAGGGATCTGATAAACTTAGTTTGGCCGATTAATAGAATCAGCACATGACTCATCAATTAGAAAGTCATCTGTGATTATGAAATCGGCACATGACTCATTAATTAGAGGAGTCATGATTCTTACGATTACTAATAAAAGAATGTCTCCCTCTCTATGGAGGGAGAACGTTGAGATACAGTTATCTAGCGTGTACTCACGACACTGATCTTAGTATGTGATTCCTTCTAAGATAATAATGATAAGTTTCCTTATTGGGTGGTCAATGTTTCTTCTGAGTGAATTGCCCTGTACATTTATTCACCTCCCAATCACTCTCGTTTTTGAGTTATGGAACACTTACAACTTTTTATTATCACTCTTATTAACGCTATCTTCGTAACTGACATGTGATGCTTAGTTTTGTAGCCTTAAAGGGTTTGTAATGTCTTGTTGTAGTATTGGTTGCTTCTTCGTTCATTCAGTGATCTCATTTTATGCTTCACTCGAGTTCGATGCTAAATAGCTTGTTCACTTGTGCCGTAGATATATATGTTTTCCCTTCTGATAAGTTTAGCTGCTATAACGATATTCTTAACAATATGCTGCCTCTAGGGATGATGTTTAGGTTGTTCTATTGATATCTGTACCAATGTGTTCTACCTCTCGGGCTATTGCTTATTATAATACTATTGCTGTCACTATTTTGTGGGATATGTTCGAAATCACTGGTGATACTACTTTCCCAATTTCTATAGCCCAACATTGATAATTATATCACCTTGATAGGTTTTGGTTGTTTCTCCTCTTCCTAATTTAAGAGCTTCTTGGAACCTTCCAAAAATCTACCGTATTCTTGTCCAGTGGCAGTGGAAAACGTGAGACAGCTTCTCGTCTGCTTCTTGTCCTCTTTCCAGTTCTCTCCTCTTCTGTCAGCTGAATCTGCCTCCTAGTTGTTACACCGTGGAGTCTGGTGGGCACTTCTTACCTACTTCTTGCACCCAGTTTCTTCTGTCCACGGTTCGTGTCTCCTCGGACTCCTGGTATTATCGCCTATTCTCGTCGTGACCCGTCGTCACTACTTCTTCTTATGTATTATAAGTTTCTTAAGGCTCAATAAAATGAATTGTGCGAGGCACTCGTTTGTCCTCTTTCTGCTCACTTTTCGTTTCTCACTGTCAGTGGGCTCTGTCTCTATCTGACTTATCTAAGTAAAGATATTGTAAAAAATGTAGAGTATGGAGAGTAGCTGAAAGGTACGAGTCAAAGGATACAATAGACATCTTCTCAAGTACGGCTATCTCAGCTAGAACTTCCGTCTGGTATGAGAATTCGTCTCATGCAGGAAGCGGTGTAATGGTGACTTATGAGCAACAATTCTCAAGATGTGCTAGGTGTAAGATGTGCACTCAGGAGGGAGGTCACGTCCTACGAGGTTCCACAGTCTCGACCCAAACATTATCTTTATGAGAGCTGAGTGGACCTGCTCTCGATGTTCTGGAGCAGCTGCCGTCTAGCCGCGAGGAGTTATGCGGGCTTCTAAGTGAGCAAGCGTGACGTGCATAAATTGACCTTTAAGGGCTTCGTAACGTGACGGGCACAGATAGAATAGTCGGCACTATTAGTACTAGGGAACTAAATGAACAACACAAAACTGTAAAGAAAATATAAGCGTTAAGGATCAGGTACTAGCGAGTAACCTGCGTTACTGACAATGTAAGTAGCGCTGTGCATTCACACTTCACCTTGAAACTGTCTACTGTGCGCAACATATATAGTGGCGGTAGAGGCCACCGACTACTGCGCATTAATATTTATCCACATGTGTTTGTCTGTCACATTTGGTTCTGTTCATAAGCCTGCCTCGGAGTAGTTCGGTACTCCGGGGAGTTCATGAGTTTACCCGGGAGTAGTTCGGTACTCCGGGGGAGATGTAGTCGGAATACACCCAGACGGGGTTATTAGTGTTCACCCAGTCAAGGTTATTAGTGTTATTTTAATTTAGGTTTTTTTAGTTTATAATATCAGAATCTGTAAACTTAGTGTGTACCGATCAGGGTTTTAGATCAGCATTTGGGTCTGGGGCCTCTTACATGTGTCTAAAAACATTCAAGATTCGTCTGAAACCCTGATCGTCTAAAACTAGGTTTAACTCCTAAATTTTCAAATAAATCCCACAGAGGATTCCTGACTACAACGACAACTATATGTGGTTCGAGCGTCCCCTTCGTCGCTTTGTGCACTTCTATCACAAACCTTTATATTGGTGCAAACGACATATTCCATCTTCATTTTGTATGCTCGTCTCGTACAAGTCAGTTAAAGGAGCTAAACAGATTCTGTCTCATGATCGACTATATTGGTGTACCCAGACTGATGAGAGCATTGCGGATCTGTGCCGTGGCAAGCCTTAGGTTTATTTTCTCAATATGAAAAAAATGCTTCTTACATCTTGTACTGTTTGTAAAGTTCAACATTGGCCTTAGCACATACAGCAGACGTGTATTGCTCAAGCTTCGTCGGATACTCGAGGCCTTTGACAACAGTGAGATTCCGGAACCAGGGCACTGTATGGGTGATGATAGGATACCTAATAGCGATCAGCACTAATTATTGTCTTCTGATCTTACAATTTCGACAATAAGCGGTCATGCAAGACATAAGCCCAAACGCAAATGCCACTCGATATTTTTTAGAGGTGTATGAAAGGTGGCATAGTTCGTTGTTTTGACCAATGCATGATCACATGCGCAACCGACATCTGAAGCAACAACCTGGACGTACGCTTCGTACATACCCGGTTCAGAAAAACGACATTTAATCAGTACATCATTAGCTTTAAAATTTAAAGTATCATCACAACTCTACAGTCCAAGCACGGAACCGATGACAATAATGCGTTTTAGACATCACGTGGGATGTTCGAACAATATTTTACTTACAATATATGATATCGTCGAGTGATACACCGCCTTCAGTCATGCACTCGCTGTCAAAGTCAAATGGTTATTAAAGAATATCAAGAATTCGTCAGTAAGCAGAGGTCGCGACGGATGTTAACTTACAATGTATACTCGGATTGAATTTAGAAAAGAAATTAATTGAAAGTGCAATAGTGCACGCACACGAACATCAGTTTCAGATACGAATGGACATCACAATTGACCCTGACAAATACATACGTCGAATACAAAATTTTCTCACTAAATTCTTCCAATAGCGCCGACATCGCCTTGATGTATTCGGATGTCTTGGACATTTCAATATTTAGATCGACGTTCTGCTTGTCGTATTTACTGCGGTGGTAGTCCACATCAGCTTTCTCGGCAAAATCCTTCACAGGTAATCTTGGGAACCTTGGTCGAGTCAAACCTGCAAATGAAACATAAACATTGTTATCAGCATGACATGTTCGCGTGTTCACAAGCACCCGTCCTACATCCATTGAGGAAATTATCATAATCAAAGCTGTTTACCTATTCATGTAAATAAGTAATAGAGAGGCTTGGAATCTATGACATCTAGTTTTGGAATGAGTGAGTACTGTTACAATGTAAATTATCACACCCTGATAGTAGCTGGTTCAGTGAGAAGTGTAAGGAGCAAATATTGCGAATATCACTGATATCAAGTGCAGAAGCTCGACATACCCGAGTATACAGGTGTGAAGCGCGACCACCACTCCTTCAAGTCGGCCCGATTACTTGCTGGCTTGAAAAGGTTCTAATGAGGATGCAAAAAATACCCCAAACCAAATATATATATATAACAGTTTGAGAAAAGTAATACGGGAGACAAAATTCGATTCTGAACTGCAATATACAAATTTGAATATGCATTCAAATCAGAAACATATTCGTATATATATATATATATATATATTTGTAATATTTTTCTTGATTACGTAATCATTACCTCAGCAGTGGCATAACTCTGTAGAAGCGAAACGATGTCCATAGACTCTACGTGGAACTTGCCCGCATCGTCTTCCCAGATGGGTAGCATTTTCTTACCTACCAGCTTGGTTGGCCCAGTCATATCTCCATAGCCATACAGAACGCGATCATACTTGATACCCTATACTTAGACGAAGAGAGTCGTACATGATCAAAAGTAGCTCCCGAATAACGTTCAAATAAAATTTAAAAAAAAATCTCCTATAGATAATATGTACATACATAAATATATAAAGATAAAGATCAAAATTAACGATATGTATATATACATACATATATATATATCTATATAAATATATATATACATACATACAAACACGCATATATATATATATATGCATATATAAATACACACATATATATATAGATAGATATATATACATACACACATACGTACATACATACATAGATCGTATACGGATACAGATACAAATACATACACACACACACACAAACATATATATATATATATAAATTTAGGTATATGCATATACATGTAAACACATATACATGTATATAATAAATACAAATAAATATATATAAATTTAGGTATATGCATATATATGTAAACAAATATACATGTATTTAATAAATACAAATAAATATACGATAATTACAAGTATAAAAACATACCTATTTTAAAACGACAGAAGCCAAACACAAGCACCGCACACAACACAAAAATTCGCAAACACAAAACACATAAAATATTATACACACATACACACACACTACATATATATATATATATATATATATATACATATATATATACACACACACACACACACATATATATATATATGAAGAAATGTATATATATAGACATAATATGATACAATATGGCATGATCTAATAATATATATATATATAAATAAATATGTATATACAGATATGTGTATAGAAGATATATACACACACATATATATATATAAATATATATGTATATACAGATATATGTATAGAAGATATATACACACATATATATATATATATACTTGCATACATGCATACAAACACACACACACACACACACACATATATATATAAATTAACAAATAGATCCTTATGTTGGTGAGGATACAGATATGGATATATATATTATTATATATATATTATCATATACATATATATGTATATATGCATATCTACATATACATACATAGATACATATATATATTTATATATAAATATATATATATTTATACATATAAATACATAGATACATTTATATATGTATATTAATAGATAAAGAGCCAAATAAAAATTAGATAAAGACATAGATACATAGAAACATAGAGACACACACACACACATATATATATATACAAGCACATACGCACATTTATATACATACAAATATAAATACATATACACACACACACATATATATACGTATATACATACAAACATACATATATTTATATTAATGATATATATATATATATATATATATATATATATATGTGTATATAAATATATAGATATATATAGATATATATATATAGATATATATATATATATATATATATATATATATATATATATGTAAAAATATATAAACATATATATATATATATATATATATATATATTATACATATATATATATACATTACAAATTTATATATATGTGTATACTTACACACACACACACACACACACACATATATACATACATACATACATACATACATGCACAAACACAAACACAGACACAGACACACAGACACACACAGACACAGACACAGACACAGACACAGACACACACATATATATATATATAGAAACGCATAAATACATAGATACATATCCTGGGACCTGTAAATTCACGCGCAGTCCTATTTTGTCTAGAATTATTTGAATCTCTGTATCCTACGCAAGAACCAGTATGATCTGCGCCCTAAAATACCACACATAACTGGAAAGATATGTATGATTATATTGACAAATGAGAACGGGCAAGACAACACACCATCAATCCTAAGGCCAGCTCCACTCGGATGCAATAGGGACAGTGATCGTAAAGATGAAGGGTCGGCATTTTTCTGGTAAGGTCAGGGCTCTCGATAGAGACTAAAAAATTGTTAGTAGGGTGATATATGGCTTCACGATCTTGGAGAATGATTAGCAGTCACTCTTCAACACTCTATACTTTGTATTTCTCGGGGAAAACGTTTGGATTCGAGTATAAAGTTGTATGGACAGTAGTACACAACTATTGCCAACTATGTACATACGTAATTATACCCGAGTTTCTTTATCTGATTAAAATTTATGACTTTTTTTATGGGAGAGATTATTCGCTAATAAACGAATACACGAGGCTTTCTGCCACAGATTGAAAGTATAAAACACTGGCCATCAGAATCATAGTCAAACAATACTTAAACAGTGGACGTACGAAGTACAGCAGTCGAGAGCCGTAGTCCCAGAACACAGTGTACCTCTATCTTTGCTGCACCATGGCTACGCAACAAGATGCACACCGAGTGGTAGGTGTATTGGGCGGTGGCCAATTGAGCCGTATGATGGCACCTGTGGCCGAGAATATTGGATTCCAGATAATTGTACTCGAACCCAGCGTTCCATCACCCGCAGGAGCCTTCAGTCGGCAAATTATTGGCGACTTCAAGGTATGAAGAATATCATCCGGAGTGTGTACCCAAGGAAAAAAGGTTAGAAACAAAATACTTGCATATGTGTTATTTGAGACATATCTGACTATTTTGAGGTGTTTGTTTGCATGACGGGGTGGTGTGTTTTTTTCCACTATGCGCGGCTGTAAGTGTCGTAGGCAATATCATGTTTTAAAGGCATTATTATGTGATACAGTCGTATTAAGCGTCTCACCTATGAGCTTTGCGGATACGTGAAAATGTTACAATGTACTATAATGAGCAGCTTTTGAACGAGTATGTATATATTCATCTGCTTGAGATGCGTAGTCGCTCTCACGCTATATATATATATGTATAAGTTTTAATGTACATATACATTAATATATATATATTATATTATATTATAGATATATGTATATATATATTTCTATGTTTATTATA